GTGTATCGTCTGTTTTTCTGAAAGAAAGCAGACACTGTGTTGGGCTCTTGCTTAAATTATGAATTTGAAAAATATGTTTAGTACATTTCGATTTTCGGGAAAACAACTGCGTTTGTTTTTCATCCAAAACCAATCAAATGTTTTCCCTCCAAATTCCGAGAATTGAATTCGGAACCAACCTGTAGGTTATAAAAGGGGTCTTGGAGTTAATTGAAGCAGTCGACAGACATCTGTTGCTGGAACCCAGGTCGCCCCGATCCAGAAAGAAAATCACTAAATTTGAAAACCATTGGACGATGATTGAAAGGAACATCAAAGTCACTCCCACATCAAGGAAAATTCCTCGGCTAGTAACATTGTTCTATTCTTCACTGTTACCACAAACTTTGCTTCGAAAATTGTACCAATTGTTTTGAAACTATTCAGAGAAGAATTTTCTCTTATTCTATATTTTATATGTAGTTTTCTTTTACGGGGATCTAATACAGCATAATAATTTTTATTGTAAAAGGGCATATTTCATTCTCATTGAATAGTTTTACATGTTATTGCCATCATTTGGCACACAATGCACTTGATTTGTATAATTCATTTATTATGTTGTGTGTTAACAATATATTTATTGTTTGTTCCTAAATTGGGTTCATGTCGTCTGCCTTTGTTTGCCCATATAAATTAAATCTTACCTCAAATATTTGTTTGAACTAATTTTTTCGTAAGGTTTTTTACCAAATAAAACAATCCTTTAAATGTCATATTTGCAGTCATTTGACTGAGATAACCTTGTTCTAGTTCGTTCATATTGGGAGAATTAAATGTACAAAGACAAGAGTGCGTTCGAACAGAATCGTTTTAGGCTTGGAAAATGGAAAAGAGATGATGTGTTATTAACGGTCTTGACGATAATCTCCCCGAGAATATTCGCACTAGTTTTTATCTAATGCGTAATTACAGAAATATCAAATTCAAACACCGGTTCTCGTACAATCACCAAAGTTAAGCAATGTCTCACCTGGTCAGCACCTAGATGGGTAATCGCTTGGGTATACCCATTACTATAATCTTGGATCTCAGAATTCAGTCAGTTATGTGCCATGCGTGATACACGCTTAGGCGATCATGTATCTTTCGATACATGACTGATTAGGTAGATTTCTTTCCCGTAGTAGGTCGCCATTTCTTTCTGTGGTAGACCAGTTGATATCCAAGGCTATACAACCTGATCTGTTCTGCTATTTACCCATAGCTGGGGGAGAAGAGAATTCATACTTTTCCCAACATTCACGCAGAATTTCAGTCGCGAAAATACACATAGTAATGCCATGAACCCGTCGATTCTCCCCCGGCTATGGGTTAATTAGTAGTTTTTGTATCACTATATCTTTATTATCCCTAAAAAAATCCTTACACTGTAAAAATATTTTCCGATCCCAAATATTCTACTCATGATTGATAAATCATTCAATACAAGACAACCAATCAATCTCAAAAAAAGAAATCATTTACTTCACGCTATACGGGATGTTTCTTTGCAGCAGAATGGAAAAGAATGTGTCTCATTTGGTGGAATAACTCTATGAATGTTTACCAAAATATTACTGTAGCACCGACTGCTGAGGACGCTCGAATATTGCCACATCGACGCAAGGCGGTGTAAGTCCCTTACAGGATTAAAACCGACATCAACGCTGCCAATATTTGAAAATATAATCAATAAATAGCGTAACATAAAATCGGGTTGTACTCAATATATATCAGTATTGTAAAAACATATATAGCTGGATGGTCCTCCAAGCAAGCAGTCAAATATCTAACGTTTTCAATCGAAAAGAAAGACATGACTAAATTCATAAAATAGTATTTTTACTAAATTCATTAAATAGTATTTTTTTTTGTTCTACTGAAACTAAACAGATTATTTTGAAAGTTGTCTTTCCTAGATAAATTTCAGAGACGGATATGCAACTGGTCCTAATCTGGCATCCCGTCCGCAGTCGCTTTCTCACAGAGGTACTACGGCTTCCCTCTGTCTTTTCTACAAGTACTTTCATGGCAACTGCTCCGACGGGCTACCTTCACTGGTTCCCAAATTGTATGAATTTAAGCGTGCTACTAGTTTGGATTCTCTGTCCCAGCTTTTTCCTGACGAAACGATTAAATGTAGCCATCTCTTCTATTCCAACAGCTTCTTATTTCGCACCTCCCGTCAGTAGAACTCCCTTCCTATCACTTCCTTCCTTTGCTTTACCTATAAACTTCAAATATCCAAATGTAATGTCAATAAACATCTTCTGATGTCTTGGCCTTCTCTTTATCCTTTTCCCAAACGCTCTTCTTTACTCTTACTCACCGTAACCCCCTGACGTACTAGTGGTATTCTTGCCTTGCTTAGGGCGATTTGCTTAAAAAAAATCATTTCTTCTCAAATAAGACAATAAAGCTACTAAGAAGCAAAATGAATGTGAGTGAATATGAAGAAAATCAATCTACATTGCATTTAAAATGTTGGAGATAAATGTTGACTGGGATGCGGGAGGCTGGAATGTGCTCCACAAGCGATAAATACCCTACAAGAATCTGTTAGAATAGAACTGCCGGTTACATCAATCCAGTTCAGTTGTAAGATGATGAGACCTAGCTGCCACTCTAGTACTGAGCTTAAATCCCTAACGTCTAGGTGCAATAAAGGAAAGTTTATTTTTACAATTAAAATGAAAGTATTTATAAAAATGTTATATCTGACGTATTTCAGTTATCAAGACTTATATTTAAAGCATAAAGCATGATATTAGTAAAGTCAACACGCAATGATATATTTAATATTCAATAGAAAATGTTAATGAAATTTTATTCAGGACCGTTTTTTTTTATATTAAATCTTAGTAATATGAAACGTTGCCTTAAATGGAGACATTCAGCTTTGATTGCCCGAGCAGCAAGTGCTGTTGTCGGTTGAAATTTATAAAATCTTTCTCTTAAAAAAATTTTGCAGGAAAAAAACTTTCTCAAATTCTGTAGCTGTTATCTTTCTTTCCAGTTTTTTTTATAGTTAGGGGGGGGGGCTTTCCTTGCCTTTGTTTAAGATAAACATCAAAATCTTGATTATGTCGATTTTATCCATTTTAGTTGTTTCGGATGCTGAAAGTCTTCAAGAAATGTGATTTATTTTATGTCTTTCCTTTTGTAGTGCCAGTTCAAGCGGTTCGAAGTAGAATGGTTTTCTCAAAGCTCTAAAGTCTTTATTCGATGCTACAGTTCTTTGTTTTGGTCATCATTTCGCATGGCTTTTACTAGTTTGTTGATTTTTTTAAAATGTTTTTTTTCTATCTAAGTATGTGCATATTCTTCTATACACAATTTTCCTTCAGGACATTGGCGATAGTGTCTCTACACCACCTATCATCTCGTGTAAACCAGAGCAGTGTTTGTCCGTTTGCCAAGCCACCCACAACACTGTTTCAGTAACTGTTCACACAAACTCGTTAGGTAGGTGGCCCGCTGCATTCTCCTATCCTTGTTTGCTTCGATATACCCTGTGAGTGTCAAGTTCTCAAAGCCTTCCTTCCTCATTAAATATCCAATAAATTTCAACTGTCACTTTCTGATTCTGAGTCGCTGAAACACATATCATACTGCCATCATTTCCCAACTAGTTATTTTGATATTGTGTCTAAACTTTTAATGAGAGAAATTATTCATGAGGATTTTGCTAAGTATCTTACTTAAAGGAATACATTGAAATATTATTCCCCGATCGACCTGCACTTGAAATATAAATGTATATGTTCTTTTTTCTGTTTAAATGTAACGTCAATCGCCATCTTCTGACTTCCAAAACCATGTTCTGTTATTGTTGTATCTCTTCGCTAACGTTTTCTCGTTTTCTTTCAGTCTAAGTAACCAACTTGCGTTTGAGTTGAATTATTATTTTGCTCGAGGTGAAATGATTGTAAATAACAAAATAATTTCTTTTTTGTTTTCATTTATTTTTTTCTTAAAACTACATCGTTTTATACTCGCACAGTCCACAGAATTCTAAGGGCCTTTCAACGTCGGCACAAACACCGAGAAAAAGAGAAACAGATGTAAAGTTAATTTTGGTCGAAACACATTTTTGACAGTCCGCTACATTTCAATCGCACTTAGTGAAACGGATTCCCAAGAAAAATGGCTTCTGAAATAACACAATTGGTGTGTGTTAGTGTCTGTAGATAGTGACGTGTGTGTGTGTGTGTGTGTTATAATACCAATAAGGATACGCATAAAAAAAACAAGCAACAAACAGACACACACAAACACAGAGGCTGATAGAGGTTGATATGAAAAGACTGAGAGAGATTGATAGGAAACTGGAGCGGTATGAACTAAGCTTGCCTCGAAGTCACATACAGACTGATATACGGAACTGAACAAACAGAGGTAAACTGGGAGACCAACAGACATACGTGTAGACTCATAGAGACGCACAAAGGCGAAGCAATGGCTCATACGATAGAACTAGATACGGAAAAGATTGTGATGGGTTTGAACAGATGAACACAGACAGAGCAATTCAAATACAAAATAGAATAGACAAGCAAACACATTACATACGTACGGACTGAAAGGGATGACAGGCAATCGCAGAATGTACGAAAGCTTCGTACAATGAAAGTAGTAGACGCTATCACCGTTATGACAGAATATATAAACGGCCTACTTCTCTTAGTCTTTTTGTGTTTACGTGAGGAAATTAATGCCTTACTCTAACTAATATATATATATATATATATATATATATATATATATATATATATATATATGTGTGTGCGCGCGTGTTTTAGAAAGATAGCAGAATCAGATAGAAAGATATGAACAGAATCAGATAGATAGATAGATAGATAGATAGATAGATAGATAGATAGATAGATAGATAGATAGATAGATAGATAGATAGATAGATAAATAGATAGATAGATAGATGTGAGCAGAAACAGATAGATAAATAGATGCGAACAGAATCAGATAGATAGATAGATAGATAGATAGATAGATAGATAGATAGATAGATAGGTGGGAACAGAATCAGATAGATAGATAGATAGATAGATAGATAGATAGATAGATAGATAGATAGATGCGAACAGATTCAGATAGATAGATAGATAGACATATTTCACAATACAGAAGTCTTACAAGTAAAAGCGCTCGCCATCTCAATGCTTATAACGAATTTCCATTTGCATATAAATTATAGCTAATAAAAAAATCACTTCCCACAAATTATTTCTAAAAGTAAGGAGTCATAAAACAACACAGGTTAACAAAGATTTTCCAAATTACATTACAGACAGTCAAATAAAATCGGTCATTATCAAATTTAAGTAATAATTAAATAATTCAGAAAGGTAACAGCAGTAATATTAATGCATGATATTGTAACCAGCCACACAAAATAAACTCTCTTCAATGTATATTCTAAATAATGCACAACTCCTTTTGAAAGAATTGAAAATATCAAATTATTTACATCCTCCTTGACATATGCTATTTACTCTCTCTCTCTCTCTCTCTCTCTCTCTCTCGTATATATATATATATATATATATATATATATATATATATATATATATGGGGGGGTGAACAAGGTTCAGTGTGTTGAGTTTTCTTTATAATTTCTCACGTGCCCGTATAATTTTATAAAAGGCTAAGAATCAAAATGTCTAAGAATAATAGAACCAGTATTAATTAAAAAAAAAGAAAAGAAAAAGGCAACTCTGAGTAATATCAACTATGAACACGGCCACAATTCGTTGACCGTGTCTGGAAAATAAAACATTCTTATAACTCTAGATACATATAAAAAAAAATCCATATATTCAATTAAAAGCAAAACAAATTCGATCCTTGATAATGGCTAAAATTATAGCCTAAAGCGCTTAGAAAACTCTGGCAATTTTTTATATAATTCATGTCCCGAAAGTAAAACCATTATACTAACGCCTAAGAAATTATATCAAGAAAAAAAATCAACCATAGCAATTTATCAGTTATATTCAACGAAACTTGCTGCCCAAATACATTATATATATATATTTGCTGCCCAAATACATTATATATATATATATATATATATATATATGTTAAAAAGCCCTTCGGTATAAATTGACCATTCTGGTAGCCGGTAATGCATTTTGATCACGGTTTGAAGTAATCACATACCTTGTCACACTGATGAGCTGTGATGCAGCGAAACAGTCTGTCTATTGATTATATATATATATATATATATATATATATATATATATATATATATATATATATATATATATATATATAAAATATTTATATCGTTATCTCATTTCGCCCGCTGAGGATATTTATCAAGGTAGATTTGAACATTTTTAATTTTGTAATTGTAATTATGTACAAAAGACAAGAGGAGGAAAAAATATTTCATTTTTCAAATTTTAAATCAAAGGTTCAGAAATAGTCTTAAAGTTAAATGTCTTAGGAAAAGTAATAAATATAGGCCACTAAGTTATGAAATAACTTGCCTAATAATCGGATCTGAGTAATTATTATTTAAATTTGGACTATTGTCTTCAATTTTGTTGTTACTATCACACTGTTTACTCACCTGGGTAACCTTCAGTGAATTTTGAACTGAACCCATTATTTAAGCTACAGGAGTGTAGTTGAGTAGGCTTTTCTCTTTCCACTGCCCATGCCCGGAGATATCATCTCGAACTTGGTACTGCTCAGATATTGCTTGCCCGTATTCACTGTCCAACATGGATTGAACTCACAATGACTACGTCACTAAATCAACTGGGCATTGTCCTATATATATATATATATATATATATATATATATATATATATATATATATATATATATATATATATATATATATATATATATATATATATATATATATATATATATATGCTGTGGGGAAATAATTTATTACATGGAACCTTAAAGTGGTATGTTTTTATTTAAATTATTTCTTCTGGATTTACATTGAGCTCTCTGGATTTTATCCTCCTTAGGTTTACCCATACGGACTACCTAGTTTTTCATAAACTATATATATATATATATATATATATATATATATATATATATATATATATATATATATATATATATATATATATAGTTTATTTGATCAGACTTAATTTACACCAGGAAACAGATGTATTAAAAACCGCTCGATGTACATAAAACATATAAATAAAACTATAACGTGCAGAGATTTTCGATTTTAAAAAAATATGCGATTACGCTACCATGGTTTCATCTAATTACGCTACCATGGTTTCATCGTTTATATATCCTCATGCGATATTGGCCAAATAATTTCTTTACGCTTTATTATTCGTATACGAACGCACAACCATCAGCTCACATGTGTTGTGTTTTTTCTCGACTATTTATATGTCCGGGTCAGTGGTGCATTGTGGGTAGTCTATTGTAACGGTAATTTTGGCGAGAGTGGTTTGGTAATTTGTTTATTATTTACTTTATTTTTTTATTTATTTGGATTAGTTTATTTTACTTGCCTTTGCTTATTTATTTATATTTTATATATTCTTTTCAATTTCCGGTTTTAAGTGACGTAGTAAAATTTGTTTTCGTGTCTGAATTTTGAGATGAGTTCTGATCGTTTATTTAGTAGTTTGTTTTGATCTGGGAAAGTAATGTTTTGCCTCGTACCGTAAATATTGGGCAAAACATCTGTGAGAATGTGAGAAAAAGGTTTTCGTGTGACGCATTTCGTCCTTTAGGATTTTATCGGACTAAGTTTTTATGTTGGTGTGAGTACACATGGTCACGGACGAGGGTTGACACTCAGGTCTACACCAAGTAGTGACAATCCATGGCTTAAAAATATCATTGGTGCATAAATCAGATAGGTACCACGCGTTGTGTACCTAAGTATCTACTTTTATATGTACATACGCTCTGTCCCTGATACTGAGCGCTTTTACCCATAAGTATAGCATACTTTTAAAAAAAGCTCTATTTTATCCTATATATATATATATATATATATATATATATGTGTGTGTGTGTGTGTGTGTGTGTGTGTGTGTGTACGTGAGTGCGGTGTATAGCTTCTTTTTAATGAGTTTTTGCATTCATCTCTTCTTCGAGCAACCGTCTTTTGCCTGAATGCATTCCCCAACTCACAATAAGACAGGGAATCGATTTTGCCTTGTGCACCATTCGGCGCACAACAATTGTGTGCAAACGTCAAGTTCTAATGACAAGTCAGTCAATACTTTCCACTCTTTTCTCTGCAGACTCATTGCAAGCGGCAACGACCACCGATGCCAACATCCAAAAATCGGATTCCGTTCGGTTCTTGCTACCATTTATCATATTCTGCATTTATGCTGGTAAAAAAAAAGAAATAAGTCAACGACAAAATTATTTTGCTGCGAAGGAAATATGCCTTCAATAATCTAAACAAAGTATCAAGAAACATGAAAATTTAAATAAAAATAAATAAAAAAAAACTTGCCCATTTTCCCAAAGATGAAAAGGAGACTTGAAGCAAAAAATCGATTCTACAGGAGGATGTTGAGAATACCATATTTGAAAACCGAAGAACTTTTAAGAAGAAATTAAATAGATCTAATTACTTGACGGTCTTGAGTTCAATTCTTGGGATGGGTGATACAAAATTTTAAATATCCAATATGTTGATAAAAATTCGAGAATAAATGAAGAGGTTTCATACAAAATTCTTATGTTTGGTTATTTATTCAGATTCTGAGGAAGTGAGGTGGACTGAAAACTTTTCAGCATGACTTAGGCTTCTGACTCAGGGCAAAAGACAAGCAACGAAATAACTAGGGAAATTAAAATTTTCAGTTGACATCTTTAGCATTGACTGTGGATTGATGACAGTCTAACTCCATGAATTGAATAATGTGTCCAGTTCAATATATACAAAGACTGCCAATTAGGAAAGTCACCTGAAGAAGGTCAGAGAATACAATACCTGAAACACTGTTACTATTACAACCAAGATTAAGGTATTCATCTGAGTAAGCAGTGTGTAATAATGTTTTAATCTTTAATGTGATCTTAGAATATGGTTCTAAATATTTTATCTTTTTCATACGGCTTAATTGGTATGTAATATGACATAGGAATTTCAATTACTAGACAATTTTCTTACTGATAAAAAGGAAATTTATGGTTTGTTTCTAGAGATGAATACAGAAAAAGACCATGGAAGAAATATGTAAGCAATGAGGAAGTTTTTTTTTTTTTTTTGTTTGTTTCTTTTTTTTTGGGGGGGGTTGTTAATGAAAATGGAAACAAACAGGGCATTTAGAATCCGAAAGAGAAATTGAAATTTGGAAGACAACATAATTAGGAAATATTTTTTGGAGGAGGAGAAACCAAGTAACCTAAATACTCATTTCGTGTAATCGGATAGCAGAACAGAAATTACCGGTGATAATAAAGGGAGAAACATTGCTTTGTTCCTAAAGAGCCACTCAAGGTAGAAGGTATCTGAATGAGGTTGTTACAACAATGCGTTGATATGCTGCGGTACTTTAAAATATAACATTATTTCTTTCATTCGTTTTACCCCAAGCAAAGTGATGAAACCACAAGGAAGCAAGGGATTACCTGGAGCAAAAGAGAATGCGAAGACATGAGGAGAAATAGGAGATTAGAGGGCCATTAAGAAATAGGTGCGATTCACATTGCATTTAAATTTTGGAAGATTGTCGGTGGTAGGGATATCAGAAGGAAGTTCCACAGAGGTAAAGAAACTATGAGAATAGAATATACGTTTGCATCAAGACAGTTCAACAGTAAAACTGTGAGACCTAATTGCCAGTCTAGTAGCACGCTTATGTCAAGAATCTCAGCAGGAACACTAGACCAGATATGGTAGCAATATCCAATTAAATGTGGAAGGTGGGTGCTGATGAGAAGAACTTTCTGGCACGACACAGCCAGACAAATTTCCTATCATTAGATCAAACATTTGATTCTATATAGTTACTCCAACACATGTCAGCGAAAAACGTCAGTTCAAGAAAGTGTACAGTGTTGCTCTCTTTTAGCTTAACATCAGCCATGCTGATAGCTGACAGAAAATGTTCTCTGCGGTGATTAAAATAAGGTAGTTTAGTTTTGGAGACATTAAAATTCAC